TATGTTATATTTGCTTACTTTTTAATATTAATTGTGTTGTGTGTGTTTATAAACTTGGATTTGTGGCCATTGATTTGAGATTGAGTTGATATTATCAGAGCATAGGAACAACTTCAATTGAACTGGAGGAGATCGTGTAATAGTATTTTAAATAGCTTGTTTGATTGTTAATTTGGTAGAAGAACCTACTGGCTAGCCTGTGTCATAGTTATATATTTGGACTTAATTAGTCTATTTAATTAGATCAGGAAATGCCTTTTAGCATTTTGGAAGATGCTATTATATAACTAAGAGTGGTAAATTAGCTAGCAAGTATTTATACTTTTAACGTGTTAATGGCAATTAAGAGAGCAGTTAAATGCTAAGAAGTAATTAAAGGCATAATATTACCTCTGGTTCTTAATATAAGGGCTCATTTGACTTTTATTTCGATCATAAATATAAGACTTGAATTTACTTTGACTCTCACATTTATACATTTTTTTTCAAGATAGTTCTTATAATAATGGTAATTTTAGCCAATACACTTGATTAGCAAGAATATTTTAGAAAAAATAATACATATTTATTACAAATAACTAATTTAACTAGTTTTTTTAATCTACTCAAATTAGTCAACTAGCTCTTATATTAAGAATAGAAGATAGTATATATCACCATATTAATTTGTCATCAATTTAGTTGGCTTTATTAGGTAGTACCATTTGTATTTTTTTTTTTTTAAAGTGCAGATACAATAATAATTTTTTATTAGTAAATTCGCAATTCATTATGTACCAATTTAAACAAGCTAAGTAGAAAATCAATCCTATAGGTAAAATTGACGCGATGTAGGGGGATGGCATGCAAGGGGATTTTGTAATAATATTTGTCAACTTCTTTTAATCTGTATATAATCTACGTTAATTTAGATTTTGTCTTTTAATGTTCTCTCTGTACAGTAATAATTTTCAAAATTAGAAAAAAAAACTTTTTTATAGGCTAAAGTATATTTCTAGTCATTTGATTTTACATAAGGTTCAGTTCCTTAATTTTAAAAAGAAAACTTTTAGTCTTTTAACTATAAAACTGTTAACAAAAAATGAAGATATTGAGTTCTTGAATGCGAATAAAACATTGTTAAATGCCAACATATTAAATTTAGTTTTCAAAACAACTATGATTGTTACAAAAAATCATCATTTAAAACTAACAATTTTAGAGTTAGAAGACTAAAAGTATACTTTTTAAAGTTAAGGGATCAAACTAAAACCTTACATAAAATTGAAGGACCAAATATAAAACAGGCCAACTTGGTAGATTTTTGTATTGCCCATTTCAATAGATTATGTAATTGATATTTATGTATGTGATAGTCACGTATATATACTTGAATTGAATTAGTCTAATTAATCATTTGAAGAATTAGGACTAGACTAATTGAAATGCCTTATACATGGTATTTGTGAAAATGCTACTCCTGCTATCCTAAATAGAAGAGCCTTTTCGCAGTGTAATTTACACTATGAAAAGGGTCTTGTATTTAGGACCGGAGGAGTATTAGATAACTAAGAGTCATGAACTAGCTAACAAAGTATACATATTACTACTTCTTGTTCTAATTATAAAACCTTATTTGTAGCCTATAAATGAGATTTTTTATAATTAGAATCGAAGGGACTATGGTTATTGCAACCAAGAGAGGATAGATCAATGCTGAGAAGCAATTAAAAGAGAGGATAGATAGTTTAATTAGTTTTATTGTATGTTTGATAATATAATAAGTTCTAGGGGTTTACTCTAGATTAAAAAAAAACTAGTTAAATTAGTCATCTGTTAAAAATATTTGTTGGTTTTTCAAAAAATACTCTCTTAAGTTATTTGCACTGAAATAACCTATTGATATAAGCTCCCTTAACATGTGCAATTAATGGGAATAATTTAACAAGAAGTAATAAGAGAGAAAATGACTCAAGATCTTGTATTTATAATTAAACTGAGTCTTCAATTAGCTCTTATTAAGATAGAGGAGGCAATAATTAAATACCCTTGTTTTATGTAATAATATATGTAACTTAAATTAGGTCCTTCGCTCTCTCAATACCCACACATATATAGAAATTTATATACTCTCATCACTAATAACTATGATGCAGAAAATATATTTATTTCATCACAACACATATCAAACCTTTCAATAATAAACTTTTAATTACCCTACATATACACTATATGATATAAAGAATTTCTTTAATTTCCATATCACGATCTCTTTTGCTCCCTGCGAGTATATATAGTCAGATTCTAAGGCCCTGCTTGATGTGAAAATGGATGTGGATGTTAAGAAGAATATCTTCTGTTGTCCATCGTAATATATGTTGAATTTATTAATTTGTATATATTGTGTTTTAAAAAGTAAAGATACAATAACAAAAACAATAATAATAATAAAAGTTTTTTTATTGATAAAATTGTAATTCATTATGCAGCGATTTAAACAAATATATAGGGGAAATTGTACTCTCCTATTGGTGACCCTAAGCCCTAAATTTGGGACTAAATGGACCTCGCTATATTGTGGCAACACACCACCAGCTCATCACAAGTTTAATTATGTGTGCCTGAGAGAGCTGCTTCATTAAATCAGATCCCAATTATTAATGCCTTTTCATGCTCATTAATTAATTTTAATTATATCTATTCATACTCTCAGGGGTACACTGTAGTACATATAATAACGTATTTTAGTTTGTTTCAAGTAGGAAAGAGACAGAAAAAAATTAAAAATCTCCTTAATTCATTTTTAGGAATATATATATATATATATATATATAGATATTGGAATATATATATGATCGGCTTCTTGTCGACAGTTTGTCAGTAACATTTTACTACTTTTGTTTCTGAATATAAGACAAGTTGACTAATTTAGAAAGATTAAAAAACTAAATAAATTACTTTAAATATTTATATTTATTATTTTTTTAAAGTGTTCTAATTAATGACATTCTTTCTTACTTGCATCCAAAATCCATCCTAATAAAGGTAACCATTGAGACGATGAAGAAGGAAGGGGTGAAAAAAAGGGTAATAGTTGCCAACTTCTTTTAATCTGCATAGCTTACCTTAATTTAGATTTTACCTTTTACCTTTCTCTGCCGTTCATTAATTCTGAAATTCCAAAAAAAAAAACTTTTTCATATTAATAACTCTCTCCCTATCCCTCACACTTCGGTTTATAAAATGTAAAATGTTTTGTTGCCTTTTTTTTTTCCACCTGGCTCTTGAAATGAGCAATAATATAAAGATTTTGAAATACTACCTCCCGTCCTTAATATAACATTTCGTTTAACTTTTATTTTGATTTTAAATATAAGACCCCAATTCACTTTGTTTCTCATATTTATGCATTTTTTCTAAGGTAGTCTTTTTAACAATGATAGTTCAAACCAATACACTTAATTAGTAAGAATATTTTAGAAAAGACAACACTTATTTAGTATAAATAACTAACTTAACTTATTTCCTTAATTTATTCAAATTAGTTAACTAGCTCTTATAATTAAGACCGGAGGAAGTATTGTTTATGCTTAACTTGGAATTTTACATCCATACTTAATTAAAATCTTAATTACTGATTAATCTATACACACCCACGCTGCTACATGTGATCACAGATTGGCGGTAGTTTCAAGAGAGATCGGAAATGGCTTATCAGCTTTTGTGTGGTTTTGACGATATGAAATCTGAACCTCTAAAGCTGACTATTTCTCATCTCACATCTTGATCCCTTATAGTTTTAATTAATTGAAATCTAATAAAACCCCTTGAAATATATATATACTCCTCCGGTCCTTAATACAGGACCCAATTATTAAGTTGGTTTTAGTCCTAAATATAATACATATTTCTCATATTTATCAATTTTCTCTAAATTACCCCTGTGGATACTCTCTCAACTATAGTCAAGTAGAAGAAGGAGAGGAGGTATTAAGAAAGATGATTATAGTGTTTTAGGAAAAATGTGTCACATTTCTTATAATTAACTAACTTACCTAACTTCCTTAATCTAATCAAATTAGTTAAACGAGTCTTATACTGAGGACCGGAAGAGTATATATATATTTATATATGTATATCACAGAACTATTTCGCTTTAGGAGGGTTTGGTAAATCCAATCCCTCACCAACCAAAGAATCAAATTCAATTCAATGGCATAATTCATTTTCCTCGATGTGTGTATATATTATATATGTGTGTGTGTGTGTGTATGTATATATGGGTCCAGGCCCTTCAATAATCTCTAGAACTCTAGAAACTAGAACATAAGATTTTTCTTTGCTTTATTGTGCGTAGTTCTTAATTAGGTGCCACTTTAGTTCAAAAGTTAACGGCGCGCGCGTAGATGATCTAAGCTAGAACCCTAACTTTCATCACATCTTTAATTTATCTTCTCTCTTCTTATTATATTATTATATTAACTAAATTAGTTGAAACTAGTGAGGTTGGAATCTTGGTTTTATACAGACAATATAGGCCCCATTTTGTTTGAAAAACTTCAAACAAGGGAGCAGATTAATTAGACTAATAACTCTCTATTATTGGGAATGAACTAGCTGTAAAAAGCTAAGTTCTCCATATAAAATTAATTACATTTAAATACTATTTATTTCCACGGGGTTGTGGATCACAATTGACTAGATTGTGTCTCAGTTATTTAACCCCCTAAACTTGGAAGAATGATCAGTTGCCTGCTAACAATAAAATACTTTAATTTTTGGGCCAATTTGCAAAAGAATCAGTTATTGTTTTTAGTGTTAATGTGATTATTTTTGTTTATTTAATGGATTTGGAAACTATTGCTACTGAACCATATATATGCAAGCTCGATAGGATATTTTAAATACATCCCTGATGAAATTAAAAGTCTTCTTTGACTCAAATCACAAATTAAAGAGACAAATTCTAATATAAAATTAAAGTCGCAAATGTGTATGCAGTTCAAGCAGACCATACATAATTTGAGTCTAACACAGTTCTATTATTAACTGCTAATTGAAACAATTAATATCATGCATATGACTATACACGAATTATTAATTAAAAAATAAAAATAAACACCTAACATTTAAAGCCCTAATGTTTTGTGCTACACATAATGTTAATACACTTGAAGTAATTATTTAACACATAATAGTAAGTAGATCATACTAAATAGTGTCTCTAATCTCCAAAGCATATAAATAATGTATGTGCAGGAGGTTAATTATTATCGTCATCATTATTATACTATCACAAATGCAGAGAGAATAATAATAATAATAATAATATATAATAAAGTGAGAATATAATTACTTGAAGGACATGTTGCTGTACTCTCTGTTATTACTTGGCTCAGGGATGAGATTCCACTCCCACAGTTTATTATTATCTGAGAAGGTCGTCGTGGTGGTGGTTGTCGTCGTCGTTAATGGAAGCGAAGAAGTTGGTAAGGCCGACGAAGAACTCATCATCACAGCCGTTGGTTGATGAGGTTGAACCAGCAAATTAGAGAATTGTTGTTGTTGATGATGATGATGGCTTGGAGCATTGTTAACGTTGAAGTATTGTTGCAGCTGATTATAACTCAACAGCCTGTTGAGATCCTCCATGACATTTGGCGAAGAAGCTGAAGAAGAAGAATTGTTGTTATTGTTACCAGGTGGCGGTGTGAGGAAGAAGGAGGAAGAAGCTTGAGCTTGCTTCATTATCAGTGGCTGCATATTTGTGAGCATCAGTAACTCTTCGTCCTCAATGAGTGGAAATGGAGGAACCATTGTTGGAGCTGAGGAAGAATTATTAGGGTAAGTAAAAGGAGGGTTGCTTTGTTTGGAAAGCCCAAGAGATATTGAGACCCCTTGATTGATATTATTATCTGAAGAGGAGGTTTTTCCAAACTGATCCTGCATTCGATGATGATGATGATTAAAGTTATTCATCATCGTACTTTGTCCCCCAAATTCTATGTTGTTGATCTGATGATGTTGATGATGAAACGTTTCGTTGTTGTGCTGCTTACTGATGCTCTTGTCTGAAGAATGTGAAGAAGCTCTGGGGGAAGAAGATGGCCTGGTTGGCAGACAACGAGGAAGTGAAGGATGGTCTTCGACTCCTGGTCTTTTGTACACTCGACACAGTGATATCTCAGCCTAGATGAAGAAAAGTGAAACAACAAAAGAACAATTCAAAACCTTGTATTTCTCAAAGAACATCACACGACTCTAGAGAAGCGGTAATAATTTGAAGCAGTGCTTCGTTTTCTGATACGAAAATCGAAGTTATATATGAGAAATATGTAAGTAGTAATAAGGTTCAGTAATGGCGGGGGTGTAATAATAGTACTATTTCATCACACACAGAATTTAAAGCTTTCATGCATGTAGTGAGGGATTCCTGCAACAAAAGGAATACGATGACATACATTTATTATAATTATCAGACAAATTAAAACTCTATCTTTGATCCCTTTTCGATTCATTTTGAACTTTTAATTTTACAAACTGTCCCAAGCATCCTGACATATTGAGTTTTTTCTTAAAAAAAACAATAACTAACACAAAAAAATCACCATTTGATATTAACCGTATGTAATGGAACTAAATGAGAACTTTATTAAAGATGTACTAATTATTGTCGACCAAGAAGAGAAAGTACCAAGAAGAAAATAAATGCTGGAACGGTGGGCAGTTTTAAATTTTCCTGCCAATTACTTCCTAACTTTTAATCCATCCCATGCATCCATCCGACATGTATATTAATATTATACTAAAGCTTTGGATCCTATATATATGTGTGTTGGAACAATTTCTCTGCAACTAAAGCCAAATTGCTTAGAAAAATTAGGGTTGAGAAAGAAGAATTATCAAAGAGAGGACCCCAATTTATCTGCTCTCTGGAAATTAAACATTCTTACTAATAATCTTGATTTTTTGAAAATCATCACATTGATAATATTTTAAAAACAGAGGCGTATGAATGAATCAAGATATACGAACAGTACCTTTTGGTATCGTTCAGTGTCATGGTGAGGCAAGCGATATTCGTTCATGATCCAACTGGTTCTGATACCTTTGGGAGCTTTACCAGAGTAGAAAACTAGGGTTTTCTTGAGCCCAATTGACTTGAAATTCTCAGTTCTGATCATTCTATCAGCTCCGGTGGCTTTCCAGTACCCCGTCTTCGTTACGCGGTTCGGCCGATCGCCGTTGCGATACTTCCGATCTCTCGGAACATAAAAGTACCATTCCTTCTCACCAATCGCCGCCATGGCTGCTCCTCATATACACGCGCACACCACAATATAAAAATATATCAGAATTCTCTCACGTTTTCATGAGCTGGCTTGCGAATTGCTTAATTATAAAGCTCAGAAAGAAGAAGACGAAGAACAAAATAGCACATGTGTTTCTTATAAGAATGTGATTGAGAGGAGTTCGATGTTTCTTAGGATTAAAAAGCAAAGTGAAACATTCCCTGAAGAGAAGGGAATATTATTATAATATTTATATGTATGTATATTATATGGAGTAGGCATACCTGGAAGCTCCCAGGGGTCATAGCGATAAAGATCAAGAAAAGTAATGAGCTCAACGTTGAATCGCTTTCCCTCAACCTTACGGCGAAGATAGAACTCCACGAGTTCTTCTTCTGTGGGGTGAAATCGGAAGCCCGGCATCACCATGTCGAGCTCGTGGCCGTCGTCGAGCTTCGCGGTTGTCGCCGTGGTGGTGGTGGTCTCGTCGTGGCTATGGCTGTGGCTGAGGCTCATGGTGGTGGCTCTGTGTGATACGATGAAGAAGAAGTTGATGATCGATGGAGCCTGCTCCTGCTAAATCGATGAAACTAACACGAAATTAAGTGTAGTTAATTATACCATATATATAACAAGAGGTTGAAAGTTTAATTTATATACCACAAACGGAGGAGGAGTTGTACGATTTGAAGAGTGGTGATAAGAGATTTGATGGTTAAGATTATGGACTAGTACAGAGGAAGAGAGTATTCATGTTTTAGTTTCTCTCTCTAGAAAAATGCAGAAGTGGGTTAATTAGAGTGAGAAAGGGAGGAGAACGAAGAAGAAGAAGGAGAAGAGAGAGAGAGGGAGAAGAGAGTAAATAGAAAGATCTACATAGCTTTCAGGGCCTACCAGAGAAGTGAGAGAAAAAGGGTGAGAGAAAAGGGAGAGGGATGTTGTGTTTTTAAGAGAAGAAAATGACATTTCAAGTAACAGTGCAGGGTGGCCACACCCTTAGCGGTGCCCTTGGACCTTTCTCCAACTTCATTATTCTTCCATAAAATTACTTTAATTTGCTTACATTTTCCCACCCCAAAAAAATATTTACGTCCTCAAATACCCGTATACTGTTATGTTTTTATATATAAGTAACTTGTATTTCATTCTCATATATTAAGAAATATATTAAATTGGTAAAATTTTTCACACTTGTCTCTATGAAAGAAAAGGTGTTGGACAAAATTTGTTGTGCTATATTTTCTCTCACATATCTTTTTACTATATTTAATTGGGATAAAATTAGAAAAAAAGTCATCAATTAACTTATATTCATGAATAAAGTGACTTATATATAAGAACATACTACATGCAATTCTAAATATGTCTAGGAGTTAGACAAAAAGTTTATTTTAATTAATTCTAAATATAAGATCTTAATATATTTTGTCTTTAGTTTATAATTCTTTCCCCAAAATGTCTTATTAATCACACAAAGTAAGGAAATTATAAGTATTATGTCTCTCGTCCTAAATGTAGAAGTTAATTGGTGAAGTTTGTGTTGGTTTTATTTATAAAATCTTAATCTTGTGTGTGTCTCATTAACTAATTGTTTTCAAACTATCTCTGTTTGTTACACAATTTTTTCATTGCAAAATACTAAACTTAACTAATGGGAGGAGTATTAATTTAGAATAATTATCACAAAACTTTGACATATTAATAGTAAATAATTAACTTGACTAATTTTTTTGATATTCATAATATATTAAGTAACTCGTATATTTGGAAAGGAAGAGAATATTGTTTTATTTTAATAATATTTTTTGCTATCTATTTTAATAATATTATATACATTTTCATACATTTGGAAAATATGAACTTTTTATGTCACCCTATGTAATACCATTCCATTCGGGCCATATCATCACGGGGATGATATAATTATAAATATATTATAAAAATAAATAACTTAATTACTGCTATCTTTTCAGAACAATAGGCCCTTGTAATGTGAAAAAAATGAAGGTTAAATTACTTAATCACTCAAAGATTTAAACATAATAAATATAATGCAGCTCATAAAGCTTCATAGACAAATAAGACAAGACATGTAATTTGGCTTCTGATATGGATAGGCACAGTAGATTTGAATATCATGTGTAATGAAGGATTATTCTATTTATTAGAAAATTTAGGAAATTGATTTTTCTTCTTAAAACAATTACCATAAAATTATTTAAAACCATAAGTCACGGCTATTCGAAATTGAAGGTTGGAATTCCTACTAGAATATAGGTGCTCATGTGGGAGGATAGCTTAATTAAGAAGAAAAAAGCTCTTCCAAATTGGATGATAGTCTTTTAATTAGTTTCAGAATTTCAAAGGCCTATCATTATCATATTTTGATGTAATATTATATTGAATATTCCAGATTGCGAATCACCTTATCTCACCTAATTAAACACTCGTGTGCTGTTTAAAAATAAAAAAAAAGAAGAAGATTGTCCTCATTTTTGTCCAAGCTACTCTCTCCTTTTGTCTCTTTCGAATATAGTCAGATTGTAATTATTTGGAGTGAAGTCAAACTATTTTAACTAAAAGGAGCTAATTTTCGTACCTCTTTTTGTCCTACATACAGGATAAAATTAACTTCACGCGCGGTCATTAAAAATGATATATGATATTTTCAAATGTGTGAAGTGTGTGGAAAAATTAAAAGTTTGCCAATAATTTGGTGCAATTATTAAGGAGGGACAATATTGAGAAAAAAAAATACTAATACATCTTTAGTTTGCACTATATTTTAAAATTATACAATAAAGTGTATAAAGTTTTGGGTTTAACTAGATTTTTGATTTTCGTATCCTTGCGTCTTGATTTATAAAATAAAACTCTCATTCCCGTGGTTCAAAGGACAGGCTGTGTTGTCCTTCTATTTTCTTAAAAAGGTTAATTTTTTCCCTCTAAATCTAAAATACAAATTTATGGCACAAAATTTCAACGGACGTGGCTTAAACATTGAAAGGAATTCTGAGCACAGATATATATATATATATATATATATATATATGTAGTATCACTTATTTATATACTTCTTATCAAAGTTTAGATTTATTTTCTGGACCTTCCCAGCGAACCCCAACTTATTAAATTATTAAAATATAAATCAAATTTTCTTTGAAAAAAAGACGTGGTCTGTAACTTTTAATTACATCTTGAAAGAGTTTAATTTGTGAGTTAAAAGACTAAAAATTTGTTGAATCTTGAAAGTCTAAATTTTTTAATTTTCTAGAGTTCTTGGTTATGAAGTTTTATTTTAGAATTTAGAGAGAAAATAAAGAAAAAGTAAGAAAAATAAAGGGAAGTGAAGTCTAAATCATCGTTTTCTTGATCATTGTTTTGAAACAGAGACAATAATTAAATGATGATTGATTTTGTTTTTGCTACGTCATGAAGGTTAAAACCGTCCATTCCCATGTCTGGCTTGAAATAAATTTTATGGTAAAATTTCATTTACATTATAGTCAAAATTTAGGTTATCTTACTTTTATTATATACATATACGTAATTTTTTCACTGTTCAATGAACATAAACATCAAATATAAAATATATTTACTAAATTGTACAAGTTGTCAACTATTCTTCGTGCATTTATACAAGATATTAGGCGAAAATTAAATAAAAATTCTAATAAAATTTAAAATTCAATCAAGAATAAGATGCACCACTATATTGTTTATATGTACCTTCAGTCAAGACTTTGTGGCCTTGTTTGCGTCAACAAATAAAGTGAATTGAAGATTAAGAATATAATAAAACTCTGAAATTAATTATTAATTTAATTAATCACTGTTAGTTAACGAACTAATTGTGTGAGTTGTACAATAAATTAAATGAAGAAGTGGACTTTCATAAATTTAGTCAAGGCAAGAATTTAATGTATATGCTGTCACATATTTAATATTGCATGTGTACGTGCTTGAAGATATTTTTTATATAAATTATAAAATGGAGAAAAACCAAATCCAATATGAGAACAAATGTAATAAAGGAATTGGTAAGGAGGCGAAGAAGATAGTGTACATGTGGGGGCAAGAAAGGAAAAAAAATAATAAAAAAGGAATTTTGGCAAATCATGGATAATGAATTAAAGCATACATTTATGTATAGGGTGGCTTGGCTGCTTCTTCTGCCCAATCTTTCTTTTCTTATATTTAATTAATATACATTATTTTTGGATGAGTCAAGACTCAAGAGAAACCCGTGACCCTTTCTCTTACGTGCACATTTAATTTAATTTAAATTTATTTATCTATCCTCATTCATATCATTTTCGAATTAAATCAACATAATATATCATAAAATAAAAGTTGTACTGTTCTCATATACATATTAGTTTATACTACTAGTGTTTTGAAATGATCAATTATTCGTCTTAGAACTAGATTGGTTAGACTGACTGGCTAGTTTCCAGAGACAATATAATAAACTAGATCTCAATTTGGTCTAGAATGCTTTCAAAATTGATCAAGTGAAAGCGAGGGCAAAAAAATCATAAAAAATATTTTTATATGTGAAATTAATATGTATTATCCTAATTATTCCCTTTATAAGGGGGAAATTATGCTAAAAATCTTTAATTGTAAAATTTATTACTCAAATTTACCTAAAAACCCTTGTTCTTAAACAGGTGTAACTTTTCTTCAACTTTGTAAAGTCCATTTTTAAACAAAATTCAGCCACATTTGGGCAATGAATTTTACAACTTGAGATTTGTCACTAATTTTTTTCTAATTACATAATCACTTTAATTACGACCGGACTAATAAATTGGAAACTTATATTTCTAGTTGCCTAGTCAATGATATCTTTGAAATTTTAAAAATAATGTTGATAAGTGATTATTTCTTCTAATGTCATCTTTTAATTACCCGGTTATGATGAAATCAACATTTGAAGCATGTTAGGTGGATTATTTTAATTTGTTCAAGCTAGTGACTGAAAAGACATTTTGGTTTTGTGTTACATTTGACCAAGTATTACAATATTCTCCTAGAAAGTCTAAAGTAAAATTTAAAGCCGTGTCTTATCATATAGTATATAAACCCTACTTGAACCCAATAATTCAAAATTATATTGTCACATTTTTAAAAATTGACTCGTAATGTAATTGAACACCACAGAATATATCCTTCGAAACTTTCTGCATTTATTAATTACTTAATTAGGTTTGCAAATTGCTCTTCGATCTGTCTCTCTTTATCTCTATCTTTATCTCTCTCAGCATTATTCATTGCGTACCATCATCTTCATAAATAAATACGCGTATGAGCATTATTTTTTGGATAAAATAATAATTAAGCTGAAATGGATTATTATTCAACTAGCACTACCTCTGGTCCTTAATATAAGACCTCGTTTGACTTTTGTGTTGGTCCTAGATATAAGATCCCAATCCATTTTGTTTCTCATATTTACTCAATTTTTTCCAAGATAATCCTTCTAATAATTATAGTTTTAGCCAACATACTTGATTAGTAAGGATATTTTAGGAAAATCAATACCTATTTATTACAAACAACTAACTTAACTTCTTTTCTTAATTTTCTCAAATTAATCAATTAGCTCTTATAATTAGGACCAGAGGTAGTAATAAGTAGGAGTGTTACTTTTTTTTAAAAATCAAATCCTACTTTATAAGTTTCAAAAATAATATATGCCTTCTAAAAAATCTATTATAAGATTTGCTTCGTTTTCTTGTCACGTAAAAGCCAATCAATGTCGTATTACGAAGACATTAATCTCTCTCTACATAGAGGGATCTGGAGAGAATTTTTTTATGACAACAAATACTCCCTCCGATTTGTATTATATAT